CCCAGCGGTGCCGCGTGGCCAGCACAGGCCGGGCTGCGGCAGCCTCACCGTGAGCTTGCGGCCGTGATGCACTCGCCACCCTGGTCAGCACTTGCGTGTCCTGGCTCTGCACCCAGTGCTGCCACCCGTGACATACAGCTGTGAGGAGCCACATGGACTCTGTGTTGTGCAGTCATTTGGGCTCAGGATGGGAAGTACTCCAACAACAAAACTTAAAAAAATAAAAAAATCCTGGTATTGTTTTAATTGTCTTTATTCCCACAAGCTTTATTCCCACAAAGCTCAAAACCTGCCCATGGCTGAGCGCTCCTGGACGTGTTTTCTTTCCCGTGAGTATTTGTTTCTGCTGGAGCATGGCTGTGGGCGCAGGGCAATGCAGGTGTTTGCGCCGTGTCACCGTGTCCCAGCGCGGCGCTCGGTGCTGGCGCAGGACCCGGTGCTCGGTGCGGCGCCCCGCTCCGTGAGCGTGCCGGGCGGGTGCACGGGGTGCACGGCACTCGCGCTGGCACCGGGACGGCGGCGCCCGAGCCCTGCGCCCAGCGGCTCTAGGGCTCCTTGCGCAGCGCCACGTTGATGCGGCTGCAGACGCGGGCGAGCGCCTCRAAGAGCGGGTCGCAGAAGGTGTGGATGCAGAGCGAGTAGATCCTGCTCACGCACTGGATCTCGATCAGGTAGCTCTTGATGCAGGGCACCACGGCCCAGATGTGGCAGAAGGAGATGAGGGCGAAGAGGAAGCCCCAGAGCACGGCCAGGGGGATGCCCAGCGCCGCCGACAGCAGCCGGTAGCACCAGTACTTGCTCACGGTGAAGCTGGTGTAGCTGCTCTTCCAGACGCCGTCGAAGCTGTAGGTCCCCACGGGCTCCGCGATGACGTCCTCGAAGTCGACCTGCAGGAGCAGCGCGTGCGGCCGTGAGGCGGGTGCAGGTTGGTGCTGCCGCCGGTGCCGCCGGTGYCGCCGCGTGCGGCCGTGCGGGGCAAGGCAGGCAGCTCCCGCGCGGGAACCCGGCCGTTTCCTGCAGTGCTTGTATCATCCATGCATTCGGAGGTGTGCAGCCGGGAGAGGGAGGGCAGCCCCGTCGCCTCCTTGCAGGGTGCTGCTGCTGCCGGCATTGCACGAGTCTTGCTTGCACACTGCCGAGCGCTGCCATAGGAAGCTCCTTGGGCTGCGGCTTGTTTTAAGGAAATGCACCAGCCCAGAGCAGGACATTTTGGGGGCAGCACATGTGTCTTGATGCATTTATGTTAAACTACTCAGAAGACCCGATTTGCCTCAGATTTGCAGCTTGACTATACTCTCAGTCGCTGTTGCCTCCCATTTGCTGCCTTACTGCRGGGTCACAGCCTGCGAGCGGGGTGCTCCTGTGCCGAAGGAGCCCATTCCTGCCCCCTTGCAGCAGCGCTGGGTGCGCTCGGGGGGCCCCGCACTGGGGGTGCCACAGCCGGAGGCGACGCTCCCGCCCCGAGGGTGGAAATGCAACGGTGCAAATGCAGCACTGCAAATGCAGCACTGGCCACGTCCTGGCCTGCACCCTGCCCTGGACCTGTCCCTGGTGCCGCTGGAGCAGGGGCTCCCGCAGCGGTGCCTGCCGGCAGCCGGCCCTGCTCTTCCCTCCGGGTTCCCTTTAAATCCGTGGCTCCGCCAGGCCAGGTTATTCCTGGCGCAGCGGGGCAGGCCGGCGAGCGCGGCGGCTGCGGTGTGCGGGCACCCACCTTCACCACGTCCTCGTTGATGTGCCGGGGGTCGCGGTTCACCAGGTCGATCTCCTTGGTGTGCTGGTCCTTGGCGAGGATCCGCTCCTCCAGGTCGCTCCGCTCCTCGGCCATGGCTGCCGCCAGCCTCCGGCTCTGCCGGGGCGCCCGGACGCCTGGGCCCCGCAGCAGCTGCCGCGCATAGCTGCGCCCCCACCCGTGGCACCGCTCCAGGCTAAAATTACCAGCGACAGAGGGGCCCCGGTGTCCGGGGAGCCTGTCCGGCGGCTCGCGGCGTGAGCTGGCGCTCGTCGACACCGCTCCCTCTGTTCGAGGGATTTAGCGCTTGCAGCTGCTCCATGAACTTCCCACTGGTGCAGCCTGTGCAGGCGGCTTCCCCCAGCCGGGGGAACAGCTCCTGCTGCCCCGTGGCCCTGGGAAACAGGGGGCCAGAGGTGCCCCATGTGCCAGCACCGTCGGACCGAGCCGCCCTCCCTGCTGCCGCGCTGCTCCGAGCAGGGTCCGACGCGCCAACACTGCCAGGAGCAGGACGGGCGCCGGTGCACGGGGCTGGAGCACCCTCCTCCAGCACCAGCACCCCACAGGAGCCCTGCAGAGGGGCAGGGGACCGCGCGGTCACCAAGGTGCCGCCTCTGCTCGGGAACCTGCTTCCCGCTGCTCCTGCGCGGACTCCTTGTGCTCTGCTGCCAGCACGTGGAGGGGAGCTGGGAGGAGCCCGCGGCTCCTGGAAGGGCTCGGGCCTCCCACTTCCTTGGCCTGTTTGTCACTTCCCGTCCCCTGCCCCTGCTCCTCGTCCTCGTGCACCCGCGAGGACAGCGCTGACGGCATCGCCCGTGTCGAGGCGGCAGCACGAGCACCAGCCCAAGGCTCTGCTGCGCCTGGTCCCGGGAAAACGGCGCTCCGGGAGCACGGAGAGCGGCAAGTGCCGCTGGTGGCCACTTGGCACCTTGGCTCAGCAGCCAGCCACCACCTGGGCATGGAGAGGGGACCCGGGAGCCCCGGAGTGCCGGAGCGCCGGAGCTCCAGAGCACAGAGCCGGCCCTACGCTCCCGTTCCCGCCTGGCTGCTATGGGCTGCTCTGCACGCAGGAAAACCTGCCAGGCAGCTCTTCCTTTCTTTCCTTCTTTTGACACCACTCCTAGCCAGGGCAGGCAGGGTTTGCTGCGGTCCCCTTTCAGCTCACCTTTCTATAGGGTTTTCATCTCAAATCTTTTTTCCCTCCTGCACCATCACTCTCTAAATCCCTCTCGCTTTTCATCTTGCAGAGGCCTCACTTGGCTCGTCCTTATCAAGCCGAGATTTCTCCTGATTTATGGCTGGTGACAGGAGCGCCGGGCAGCCCCGCAGGCAGCGTTAACCAGTTGCAGTGACGCTGAGTGCAGCCAAGGGCGAGAGCTGCCTTCAGTGCCATCTACCCTAGGCCTGCGGCTGCAGCATCCTGGCTGTGCTGGCCCGGGGCAGCGCTGGGGCCGGGGCTGCCGTGCGGGAGCCACCGGCGCTGCGAGGAGCCGGGCGCCGGCCTCCCCGCGGGGTTCGTCCCGCACTGCCCCAGCAGGGCCCTGGGGCYGCGCTCGGCGGGGCAGCCGCAGCAGCAGCAGGCGCGGGGCACCCCGTGTGCGCTGCCCTGGCACGCCGGCCTCGCGGGCAGCGGTGCCGGGGATGTGCGGATCCCGCATCCCGCATCCTGCCTGGTCGGGTCAGGAGTGCTGCAGAGCAGCGGGAAGGGGCAGAGCCACGTGGGCAGCGGTGCTGGGGCCGTATGGACCCCATATCCTGCCCGGMCAGGCCAGGGGACCTGCCCTTCCCAGAGGAGCATCAGCAGCCACAAACGGCCTAGACACGTCCCTGCTCGTGAGATGTAGCCTGCAGCCCTGCTATAATCATCGCTTTGGAGCCCTTTCTTGGAAAAAGCCAAAATTAAGCATCCTCAGGACACGGTGCTTTGGTGCAGAAGGGTCATATTTTCCAAGACTGTTTTCCCAGGCAAGTATAAATACGAACGCGAGAGTCCTGTGGCTGGGTCCTGCTGTGCCCGCGCCGCTGCCCTGCACAGCGGGCCCACGGTCTGTGGTGCAGCTCGACACGGAGCCTCTCGGCGGTGCCAGCGGCGGCCCTGTGCAGTGCGGATCACCAGGGCGGCCGCACCTCGGGGCAGGCTGGTGACGTGGGTGACCACAGAAGGTCTCAGTGTCATTTTGCACAGCCAGGGGCCTCCACGTTGTGACAGAGAGCTGGAAACCTGTGATGGGAAGATGTTCCGCAAGGGAGTGCAATGTCGGGATGGTAAAAAGCCTCCATCCCCGGCCCCTACCGCGCTCCTCTGCCGGATGGGGCAGCATGAGCGCCGCGTGTGCCCGCRCCAAAGGGTGAGGAGCAGCTCCAGGGGCCGCGGGCTCGGGATGCTGCCGGCCGGTAACTGGACTCCTCTTGTTGCCTCTTAAAATAGCCCGGCCACAGGTCTGGGCAGGGAGCGGCCCGTGCGGCGCGAGGTGACGTTCAGCAGGAATTCGAACTGTCACAAGCGGAGAGGGTGCCCGGAGCGCGGGCTCCGTGTTCCCGTTCCGTGGAAGTGAATCAGCGAGCCCACGTGCCCCCGCAGCACGGCTCGCCTTTTATAGTCAAAACAAACACTGCAGGCGCTCGGGGCCGAAAGCRGCCGCTTTGGTGTCAGCGCGCGGGCGGCACCGTCCCTGGCGCCGCCGGGCGAGCGGGCGCTGCCGCACGTCGCACCCTGGCCGTGGCAGCCCGGCCGCCGCTCCGGCCGCGCCAGCACCTGGTGGCAGYGCTCGCTCCTTCCCCACGGATGTGAATTCCCCCTGGGAAATGGAGCGCGTGTGGAAAAGCTTGCAGCAGGGTTACTCCGGCGTGGATAGGAGAAGGTGCACGATGCCATTCCAGAGATGCTCACGCTCCTCCTTGGAGCCACGCTCATCCCCGAGTGCCACGGACAAGGTGCTTCCTGCCACCAAGGCTGGAAACAAGGTGTTTTGGTGCTATTGAGCCACCCGCCAGCAAAGCTGTCCCTGCACATCCAGGAGGGACCAGCAAGCCCATTGCTGACCCCGAGGCCAGGGACTGGAGCGATGGACATGAGTGTCCGTCTATCTCTGGGGAATTGGTTGTACGAGTCTCTGTGCCAGCCCCGTGACCAGTGGAAAAAGCAAACCTAGCCCTGAAGAAATGCATCACTTGATCCTTTTTCCCAATGGCTCTTGCCATTACAAAATACCGTTATTAATGGGAGTAAATCTTAACTTGATATCTTGAGTRTTTAGGAGTGAAGGAACATGGGGATGCAGGTCCTTAAACTGTCTTCCCAAGGCAATACTAGTGCAAAAAATATGCACTCCTACGAGCCAAAACCGGCCTGGCCTCCTCCCAGGACACTGCTGGCTCCAGGAGGGCTGGAGCAGCGCGAGCAAAGGGGCTTTGGGCCTCGGTTGCTCTCTGTGGGTGCCAAGCGGTCCTGCTAGTGAGGATGACTGCGGGTTTGGCGGCGGCGCGGCCACTCGCGTGGCCGGGGCTCGGTGCGGTGCCGCAGCGCTGTGAACCGTGCCTGCCCGGTCCCTCGGAGYGGCCCCGCACCGGCAGGAGCCCCGGGGCGCCCGTGGGAGCCCACGGGGCCGGGGCGCGGAGCCTGCGCCCGCGCCGGCGCCTTCGCCGGTGTTCGCAGAGCCCAGGGCCGCGCACGGCGCGAGCACAAGAGCCTGGCCATCAAACACCCCCGAGAGCCTCCGTAATACCCAGCTGGACATAAATTGATCCGGGGCCTCAGGAAAATGTCGGGCTTTTATCTGACTCGTCAACTTGGGGCAAGAGACATGACAGGCTCAGCAATCTTTAAAGATGGATCTAAGCATTTATCCTTGTAATAGCCTTATAAAATGCCCTTTACTTTTTAAAAAGCTTTTAAAACAGGCTCTTAAAGGGAGGTGAAAGAGAAGCTTTTATAGAGCACCAAGATGAGTGGAGAGTAGATGTATCCGCAGGAGCTTTGAATGAAAAATAGGATGTTGGATAGTAAAGATGTGCCAGTCTCAAATATTTTATTAAACCAGACTGGCTCAACTGGAATCTTGCTTTGGAATAATGAGGTGGGGGGGGGAGAGTAGGGGCTGAGCATAAGGATTTTGATACCATCAAAATATCTCGTTCTTCAATGTGGAAATTATTTTCTACTTCCAAGTAAAACGTTTTGCACATAATGTTACACATAGCATCAAAGCGGGAGCCTCAATTCCTGCTGCAACTGAAAGGCCTCGTTTGGGTTCAGGAAGAGGCAGAATTTCCAATTATCCAAATCCTTGGCGCATTTCGCAGAGCAGCCCCAGAGAACTGAGTTGAGCAGCTCTTAGTGACCTCCATCCTCGTGCCACCTCGCTGTGCCCAGGTCGTGGGGGACATCGCCCCCACGTGGGGAACTGTCCCCAAACCGTGGGGCGGCTGCGAGGCGCTGCCGGGCAAGCCCTGCAGGCAGGAAACCAGAAGCGTTTCTGCACTTCTGCATGTCTGCATTCCTGCACGTGTGCACGTCTGCATTCCTGCACGTCTGCATTCCTGCCCTCGTGCGTGTCTGCAGGTGCAGGGCGGCTCCGTGCCCCCCGTCCCTTTTCCCAAGCKGTCCCGCAGCCGGAGCCGGGCGCGCTCGGGGCGCCGTGGCCGTGCGCGGCCGCGCAGCACCATCTAGTGCCCTGTTTGCACGGGAGAGGATCGATGTCCCTCTCCYCTCCACTGCTTCCGCAAGCGGGGCCTGAGCACCTTGCAGGAAGCCCGAAGGGCCGCGAGGAAASAGCAGCCAGGGCTGCAACACCCGCGCGGCTGCAAGGACAGAGCGCTGCGGCTGCCGGGGCACGGGCTCGGGGAGCGACCGCGGCTGTCGGCACCGCGGGGACCCCGGGCAGGGGCTGCCGGCCGCGCTGCGGCCTCCCGAGAGCCTCCTGCGGGCAGCCGGCGTGGGAACCCGGCAAGGGTGCCGGCCGCGGGCTGCTTCCCGTGTCAATCGAAATGGAGCAGGGCTCTTCCCCCGGCCACCTCTGGTCCCCGCACGCTGCTCTTCCTGCATGCTGCTTTTCCTGCTTGCTGCTTTTCCTGCTCCGGCGGGATGTGCCGAGGAAAAGCCTTTGCCCTATTGCCCTGTCAGGAGCGGGCACGTGGGGACCGGCTCAGTGCTCATGAGTCCTGCGCGGTTCCTGCAACCCAACATGTGGCATCCGGCTGCGCTTCCAGCCCCACACGGATGCTGCAGCTCTGACCGATGCTTCATCACATCGGTTTATGGTTCCTGAAATGCCCTCGGGCCCCACTTGTGGGTAGTTGTGGGGCAGAAAGGCACATTGATCCTCTGCCTCACTCTATGCAATGGTCCTAGTGGCTTTTCTCTYGTAAATCCCCGGTTTATTTTAACGCTGCCCTTTTGGGAGCATTTCTAGCGTTCCCTGCGCTGGACCCCCCCCACAGAGATGCGATCCCCTGCTCCCCGTCTGGAGCTGGCACATGCTGGGGCRGGAGGCGGCCGGGAAGGCGGGTGGGATCGTGGGCAGCCAGTAATTATTTGCTCTCCTTGCATTAACCATATATTCTCTCCCTAATTTTTTATTGCTGGACATACACAAGATGTTGCCTACCTGTAAAGCTTCTACCAGGGCAGTGGAAACAGGAACATTTCTTCAGGCCTTTATCCTCTGCTCACATTAATGCCGCGGAGAAGGGGCAGGCAGCTTAGCACAAAGCAGCCCGGCATTGACAGYGGGAGACTGATAGAAATTTTAAACCTCCTATTTTCTCATTAAGGCTTTGCATTAAAATAGTGTATTCAATTGGCTATTATTATTATTATTTCTTTTAATCCTGTGTGTGAAATGCCCTTGCTCCAACTCTGCAGGAAGCCGTGGGAGGGCAGCCAGGCTGCTCAKGTGCAGCTACCATCACATTTTGCCACCACCACCTTTGCAAGGGAACACGGCACCTGGGAGAGCCTGGGGCCAATGCCTGCAGGCACAAACCCTTCACTTGTGGGGAGCCCTTTGCCAGGAACCCCCCGCGTCCCGGTGGGTGTTGCTGGGAGGACAGGGCGGGYGGCTGTTCCCGGAGGCCCCGTCGCTGGAGCAAGAGGAGCGGATGGTCACATCGCTCCTCTGGATTTCGTTGTCCTGCTCCTGCTGCAGGTGCTGCAGTCCCAGCAGCTGCAACACAGATGGACCCTTGCAAGTAGCATCTGGAGCCTCTGAACGCATCTGGGATGATAAAACATTGATTTACGTCAAAAAGAGCTTTGTTTAAAGCTACGACTTTAGAGTGCAGCTGCARGGAGCAGTTCAGGGCTGGGACCCGCGTCCCTTGGCGCTAGATGGCAGCGAGCGCCCGTGGCCGGGGCCAGCGGGACGGGGACTGGCACCCTGGGTGCGTGGCGGGCTCCGAGCGTGGCCGGGATGCCGCGGGCGCTGCCCGGGGACGGCAGCGCTGCGGGGGCCGAGGAGCCTGCAAGGCTTTTCTGCCAGCGCTCGGTTATCTGCTCCTTTTTCCTTTCTTTTCCTCACCCACCTGTCAATGCTGCTCTTAGGAAATGCCAGAAGGGGAAGCTCGCTTGAGCCTCTGCTTGCCCGGGGCTTGGTCYCGCACTTCAGCTTGCAGCCTCAGCTTGAGAAGGAGCAGGAAACAGGCCCCAAGAAAGCTCAGGAATGGGCAAGTGGAGAGAAAGATATCAACACTCTCACTTGCCACCAAGCCCAAGCTCCTCGCCTCGCCCAGGATTTTGGCTTTTCAGGTCATTGCGTTGCCACGCTGGGTTTGCAGGGGCAGTGTCGGTGGCACCGGACGGGCTCGCACGCCCCGGTGCCTTGGCTCGCTCACAGAAGGGACTCAGRGGTGCCGTAGCACAGGGCGCCTGCTCCTCGCCTCGCCGGCCCCGGTCCCGGCCCGGAGGAGCCCGGGGGTTCGTGGTGGTCACGGCAGCAGGAGGAAGGGGCCTGGAGGCTCCTGCCCAGGACGGGGCTGGGCGTCATTCACCCCAGTCTCCATCCATTCACCCATTCTCCATCACACCCATTCACCAAGTCTCCATCTCACCTGCACCCAAACAGGGACCAGCTCGGAGAGGCTCCTGCCCGGGCCCCACAGCTTCTCCGAGGTGCAGGATGGGCTCGAGCTCCTTCCTGCGTCAACCTCCCCGCTGCCCCCGGYGGGTTAAGCGAACCCTGCGAGCAGSGAGCAGGCGCTGCAAGGAGGCGAGCGCAGCTTGCAAGGCTGCAAGCTTGCAAGGCTCCCAGCTGCAAGGGCGCTGCGCTGCAGCTCCTGCTGCCTCCACGAACACCACTGCTCTTTCTGGCAAATAACATAGACATTTAACAGACAGAAGATGAAGAAGCACAGACATCTACTAAGCTGGACTACSAGAGAGGGTCTGGGACCCACAGGAACATTGTGGGACTGGGGGGACACAGGTCAGGGGATTGGGTGCTGGACTGCAGGACATGGGTGTCCCCACGCAGGGGGCACGGGGCAGCATCGCCCCTGGTGCCAGCTCGATCCAGAGCATCGCTCTGGCCTGGGCTGCATCGTTAACATCATGCAGGAAAAGCGCCGGCATTGCAGGAGGTCAGACCCAAAAACCTAGCACAGCCTGGGCTGAAAAGCTGCTCTACCACTTAAAGACATGCAGCAGCATCAGGGAACACAGCAGCCTGCTAAAACACACTCCGAAGCGGGGCTGGAGGTGGCAAGGAGCTGCAGGGACGGCAGTGCCTGTGCCCGGGCCACGCGCATCCCAGGAGCTGCCCAGAACGATGCTGCGGGTGCAGGGCTGGATCTCGCTAAGGTTACACCAAACATTTTACATGCCACTCTTTATTTTTACAGTATTGTACAGTTACAAAGGAAGAAAAAACAACATTATATAGCTATTTTATATCATTKGCTTTCAGAAAAATAATCACTTAAAGAATTGGATTAAAAACCACTGATTCAGTACAGTTGTCAGCACTGTACGTGCAAACTTCCAGTACAGCCTCAAAAACCCCACCTTCTTATTGGACGCCACCATAGGTTTAGCATAACAAAAGTTAACTTTGAGATGTGTTATTTGCACAAGGATATTGCAGGACCTTACACATGAGAAGCCGAGAGGTTTGCTTTTCAGGAAGGCAGAACCCCAAAGCTCGCGGCTGGAGCGCGTGCGGGCRGGCGGCACCGTGCGCGGCGCGGGACGCAGGGGGCAGGCAGCCGCTCGCGG